ATTGAAGCAAACTGTAGTGTGAGGGATGAGTCTCAGAAGTAGATTGACATAAGAGCACTTGAACCACTATCTGAACTGCTAAACGTCCCGAAGCACCTTACAAATGCTATAAACCCCATGAACGCCATCAGAGGGCCGAGGGGGCCGCTTTTCTCCTGAATTGTGGGTTGACAAATTTATTGATAGAGATATCAGATACTGTACAGTCGGAGTGTCGAACACACTGGAAGCGCCCCCGGTCTCTCCCCCTCTCCACACAGTCTTCCTGCACCTATGTTTTGAGTATTATCAGGAATATATTTCTGGCCAGCGTTGTGACAGAATAGATTAGATCGTCTTAATTGTTTCTTCTCGAAACTGCATCACATCTCGAGCCCGAATGTAGCTGCTCTTTTTCAAGCGTGACTTGGCCCAACAGGTTAGCTAGCAGTAAAATCAATAATGCATGCAATTCCCAACGTTTTCGTTCTATTCATGTCAATTCTCGGCGACGCGACGGGAAGATAATTAATTAATGATTATCATGGCAAAATATTGCGCGCGGCAATATGCGCGTTACTTGCGCTGCAAAGTAATAAATTTAGTATGCCCGCGTTCCGTTAAAGACACCAAAATTGGGGCATTTTGTGTCGCTTTTTGTTTCGTTTCTAATAGTTTTGTAAACGTGTATTAGTAACTGGATTGCAAGAGAGGGGGCTTTGTTTACATGAGACACGATAATACCAGAGACTTCATTGCAGGACTCCCCGAAATAGTGCAACATGATGTTCAAACTGAGCCATCTCTTCAGCCAATAATAGAGGCTCAATCCGACCAATTCAGAAACACGGACGATGCAGCGAGACTGACATCAGGGCGAAAAGCTTTTGGAGAGCTGGCCAAGACGCCGATTTTGGTGTCAGAATAACATATCTCCTGTCATCAACAGCTGTGAAGACTTCACTGTCTTCACTCTATGATCACAATGAGAAAGAAAAGAAACGATCGTACAATCATAGAGTTATGACAGTGGAGCAGGGAAAGTTTGTGTCTGGTTTCGTGGGGACATATTACACATATAGTAAGTGGATAAGTTTCTCTCAGTCGCTATAACGTTCATTATGAACGTAATAACTCAGTCACTCAGTCACTCAGACACTCAGTCACTCAGGTAGTTGATAAATGACATATTGATATATAACCCTCAAAGTCAACTGACAATGACAACAGCTATAACATTGACGCACAAATGCGATTCAATTGTACACATTCGCTGTTTATAACATTAAACCATTAGATCGCAGTGATTCAAAATCGAACTCCATGTAAAAATTGGTTTATCGACATTGCTTTATAAGAAGCTGATCCCATTTAAGTTCAATCATTTATGATTCTCTGAAATCTTCTGAAGAACTACTATATACTGGCTAAATTCCCAGAGTTCTATCACCATTCACCAGCATAGTCTTAGACTGAAATATGTTATTTGAATCAAACTAATATTGGTCAAAAACTCAGCACTTATCCTTTGGAAACTTTCTTTCAAGTCTCAACCTGGGCTCACATCCCTGACCAAAGATAAACGTGTTTAAATGTCCAACATTCACTAATTCAGTACAAGTTTATACATACAATTAGTCTAACCCGTGCCTACGGCCGGAATTTCACTATCGCAGTTGAAATGCAAAAGTATAAACCTGCCTATTATATTTGAAAACACGCATTACATTGTCGTATGACACACATAAATCGAGAATCTCCGAGATAAATTTGTCGATTAAAAGGATAACGTTAATGACAGCTCCCCAACACAAAGCCCCAGCCCCCCTCCCCAGGTGAGGTAGATAAAGACGGCACATCATCATTCATCACAACATGAACAATTGAACATGGCTATTTCAGTACGAATTAACAGAAGACGATCGAATCAGCGACCAGGTGAGCCTTAACGGATGTGTTAACAATATGCCGTGAAAATATTATAATATGTTACGTTATTTCCTCTCATGCGTACATGTTTATTGTTCATGAATATCCATTTATAAGGCCGCTTCTCTCCTGCGGGGCTTTACAAGTTCACCTCCCGATTTCTTCATAATAGGAGAACCTTTAAGGTTAGTTTTACAAACTATTTAGCTAAATAGAGTTCTAGGCTATACGGTACATTTTAGTTAAATGGTCCTTGGCTAGTCCAGTTATCTAGCATATTACCTAATGAGGAATAACTCGTACAAAGTAGCCTTATCTCTCGCTTATTTGTTAAGAAAGATTATGTTGAGCTCAATTCTCAGAAAAGCCTTATCTCTCGCTTTTTTTGTTGAGTGGGAGCTCAAAAAATTAACATGTCTACCATGCCAGATGCCCAGATGGACAGCTTATTCTTCACTGGCATAATGAGTTTAGAAAAGTTTAGTTTACAAACATCTAAACTTTCATTGGATAACACCGTGCCTGATGGCGCATTATAATCCGTTCAAACATTTTTATTCTTTGGGAGCATTTTGTTCTATTTCCTACAGTGACGTACCAGGCCTTTTTCTTCTAGATTTGTTTCTTAAAGGTCAAATCATACCATTTTCAATAATTAAGATTGAACGTTATATGATAAAAAACAAGCCCCTGACAGGATAGAATGTTAATGATCCCTTTAACCACAGTCTCCATCCTCATCAGCCTTGTTGGGATCATCGCAAACTGTCTATCTCTCTCTTACTTCATCAGACGACAGAATAAAGGGCTCGCAAGTAGACTGCTGATGTTACTTAATACATGTGATTTAGTTGTGTGTGTGGTTTATGTACCCAGAGCAATCCTGGAGAGATTGTATACATACGACAGTATTGGAATGGGTTTTATTGTCACCAATATCATATATTCCATATGTTTTGATTGCACAGGATTTTCAACGTGTCTCGTTAGTATCACCAGAACGATTAAAGTGTATCGACCTTTCTATTCTTTAAAAGGAGTTTGGATTGCAGGAAGTTTTGTTCTCTATTCCATTTGCTCAACAATAAGGGAAATTTCTTACTACTACTATTGGTTTAAAGAAAATACTAATTTTGATACAAACTATCATCTAATAATCTTTTCCTCGATGACAACTTGCAACGTCAGCGCTGTTTTCATCTCAACAGTCATTACGGCTTATTGGTTGTTAAGGAAAACCCAGATTAAAGGCAACATCTCGAAGAGTAATCACCATGCAACCATTACTATACTAATCCTATCAACAGTATTCTGCCTTCTTAATGTCACAACCATCGTCTATCTAGCGCTTCTGTTATTCGGAGATTTCAGGGCAATTAATGAAAATGGAACAATTTCTACATCAAAAGAATTGTTCTATCAGATAGCATGGAATGTTATGATTTGTCTCAATTCAACAGTTAATCCCATTATATACCTGACAAGAAAAGAGGAGATGAGACGACATGTATTAGAATTCTGGAGGTCTCTGGTTGATAGATTCAGAGCTAAATCACAGGGAACTGGATTACAACAAATGAGACTAAATGAAACGGGGCGACAGGAATTTAGGCCACAAGAATATGGACCACACACTAGACCACTAGAAAATGATTTAGAGTTCACCACTAGAAGCCCAAACGACAAAGAATCCCGTGTAGGAGTAATCCCTGGCATAACTCCAGATATTTCTACTAGTGTGTGATTTATAAATTATTGAGAAGAATTCAGAGTGAAGTTACAATTTCCTTGGTCGATATCAATGATAATAATACACAGATTAACCTTGAGTTAACTTGATCAAATCATAAGCAATGACGAGAGAAGACTGAGGGAAGCCTTTGAATGACTTTCAACCGGCGTGAAATATAAAACTACAAAGCAACGTTTGTCCTCGAAGGACACCATAGCGGAGTTGGAGTTGAGCTTAGGCTCAACTCAAAGGTGTCTTTATAATGGTTGTGTTGGACAATCTAGCAATAGAGAGTTAAGGGCCTTCGGAGATACATGCCTCTGCCAGTCAAACTAGATATCGTGAAAGAACATATTATGGAGTCAGTCAGGTTTGTTGTGCCGCCTCAGCTATTAATATGAAGTAAGCTGTTTTGTTGTTGTATGCTATTATCAGAAACTGTGAATTGCTTTAATTTGATTGTAGAATTTACCTGGTAGAAATTTTAATTTAACCGGAAAATTTCATGTTAAGGTATATCCCATTTTACCACAAAAAAGGGCACTTCATTTTAATAAATTTTATTCTTTTGTAAATAAATTTCAAAAGTAGTTGTGTGTATACAATTACTACACATTACAGCAGTTACAAGACTTAGAGTAATGAGTTGGCTGGATTTTTATGTTAAGTTGTACAATTATTGTATATTATATAAGACAAAAGTATTCTATAGCTTCCATTCCTGAGCGTGCTAAATCACTCTACAATCGATCTTCTAATTTTCTAAAAGGGCCCCCGACAGTTGAAACCAACTTGGATCGATGTATTTTCGGACGCTGATTCCGAATCACCCCCATGACATAGGGTAAAAATGCTCCCCAGGCGAGATATTGGCGAAAAACTGTCTCGATCACGTGATATGACCGTATAAGGAAGTTGGTCTAATTTCTCGTCGGAGTTAGGGTTTCAGCATATGCTTTTGTTAGGGATTGGGTTAGGGTTAGGTTGGGATCAGATTAGAGTTTTAGGGTTTCGAATAGTCGTTCAGGGCCAGCAAGAGAACGGGTTGAAAAAGTCACGTGACAGTCGAGTGTAGAGTGATTATTGATTAATGATCACGCTTCCATTCCACAAAAATGACATTTTTTATACTATGTAGTGTATACTGTATATATAATGCTCTATTATGCTCTATTTCCATTTAATTACCACATTATCATTGCTCGATTGTATGTATCATTACTTGAGTAAGATACATAAAATAAGCTAAGAAGCTTTTCTAAATGTCACTTCTAGTTCTACGCTTTCTACCTACGCCAGTCAAATTGATCAGAAAAAGATGTCGTATTTATTAAGTTCGTTTAAATAGTTTAAAGCGTACCTTTGCAGTATCCTCTCTGATCCTCAAGTTTCTGACTGTTTGACGCTTCTTATTATCAAACTTAGTACCCGGCATGTTGGCTTGTTCTGTGTATTTGTATTCGTCAACATCTTCCTCATCTTCTGGGTCACTGAAACAAAGAGGGTTCTGATAAAATGTTCATAAATTATTAACTTTCTGATAACAAGTATGTACATTATTACATAAAGTATGTACATTATTACATATTACATAAAGTATGTACATTATTACATATTACATAAAGTATGTACATTATTACATAAAGTATGTACATTATTACATAAAGTATGTACATTATTACATAAAGTATGTACATTATTACATAAAGTATCTGTACTAATAATATAGAAACCTGTCACTCTTTGACTCGGTCTGCTGCCTTATCCTTTCATTGTTGTTTAAAGATTCAGCTTTCAGCTGTTGTTTCACTTTCTCTACTTTAGAAAAATCATCTAGTAGCTCGTCGTGAGTAGTCGTATCATATCCAATCCATCTATCTCGCTTTCCTTCAAAATCCAAGTTGGGCAACACCTAAAATCAGAGTTCTAGAACAGTTAGCTCAGTTATCACGTTATCATTATCAATTGTTAATCACTAGAAAAGTTTGCCCAAAAGCACAAAAACTTGTCTAGAATACTACTATTAAATATAACAACGTCGAAATATTAATTAAGTGTTCAACCGGAAATGAACTTACAGGAATAAGTTCATCAGGAGCATAATCTTTACCCGACCACCTAGCACCAACTTTTCTAGGCTTCTCCAAACAGTCGATCTTCTTATGAGTAATTGCTCCACAATTTGTACACGCACCTTTGCGAAACTTAGTCGCCACTTTCTGGAAATTATAATTGTTTTATTGACTTAAACAATTATAAAAGTTTTAATTCGGTATTTTCCACAATCACACGGTTAACAATATTAAAGAGACAGCAATTAATGAAATAAGTATTAAAAATTATAAAAAGGAAGCAACAGTTTCTTACATTAGTGAGTCCTTTTTGATAGAGTCTAGAAACATCGTCAAATGTTTTTACTGTTTCTGGCTGTGTCCTTTGATGGGTAAGAGTTGGCCCATCCATCTCCAGGTACCATGGAGAGTCCTTGATATATTGTGGTATGTGGGGGTTGATGTCACTGTAAGTAGACAAGTTAGTAACATGACAGAAAATAGAGTCATGAGAAATAATTTAATTGGAAACCTTTATGTAAGAACAAAAAATAAAGTAAAACGTAAAATTAACTTACACTCCAAATTCATCTTGTTCGGCAGGTTCAAGACCTGATTTTCTTGCTTCATCTAATTCTTTTTGTTTTCTGTAGTCCTCCCTACTTTTCTTTGGCGGACCATCTTCTCTGACTTCAGCCATGATGTGACTAGCAAGAAGCATGACATTATGTTAATTTAAAAAACGCACAAAGGAGTAAAAATCAAATATTAGCATTTTGTTAAATGAAGTGATCCCAGAAATCAAGCTGTCACCCTTTGTTTGAGTTTAAAATTTCAGCCTTGAAATGTACGGCTGCTGCTGTTTGTTTCTTCGAATGACACATGACTAATAATTTGGTGTTCGTCAAGAATTTGAAATATTTTATTGACAATATAGTAACCAATATCAAAAACTTAACCTTCATATTAACAATCAATATTGAAATCGTTACTGAAAATTGATAGACCTATATGAAGATACAAGTTAAAAATATTGGGTTAAAATCTGTAAAATTAGCTCTTGTCAAATTATTAATTAGAAATATATTTAATGTGTTTAATGTATATTTACTATATAATTTAGATCCATCATATCTATTCAAAACATAAATTACAAATACACACTACAAGAAGTATATAAGAACATTAAGTTGGTAAGGCTTCTTTAATGTAGCCTAGTATATAGATGATCTAAAGGAATCACACATAATTAACAATTTGTAAAGGACTGTTCAAATACATAACGACAGCAGCCTAATGTAGGAGGGAGCTTGGAAATGCTGACAGTTGCTTGTCTTTTTTTTCTAAAATGAGGGTGGGTCTAGCAGATGCTGACGTAATAAGAAAGGGGGTTGGTTGGTCATGACTGTTGATGACATAATATGATAACAATCCTACATATCATATCATAATTAAAATTGGCTTTATCAATAACGGAAAACTAATTGGTTCTTAAGAATAGAACCAGTGCGAAATACCAACTATATCATGCAACACCAATAGAGAAATAATATGGTAAAGCAAATGCATGCACATCTTCTGCCTTAAAATATCCTATAAATCATGTGGTCACTAGTCTGAACTGGGTCATAAGGTCACGTGATCGAACTAACAAGTGCGATAACGTATAGAACTGAGAGGAAGAGGAGACCTACGTAAACGTTTGCAGAAACTGAGGCTGTCAGAGACATCGCCACCATCCAGGAGCAGAACAATATCAGTCCTAAAACTGGCAATAATAATCCTGAAGAAGGACAATGTTAGTATCAAAACTGGTTTTACAATAATTAGGTCAATATTAGTACTTAAACAAGTAGTAATAACCATGAGTAAGAGAAATATTATTCCCAAACACTGATGTAAGGATAATTTTATAGATCCAACTCTCGGTGACTTCCTCTTATTAACAGACCTGATATATCAAGATCCTCCACGTTTGCTGAACCAGCAGCACTATTATTAAGATTACTAGAACTAGAGTTAGCAGAGTGAGATATCTGACAGATAAAAGTCGAGGGATTGTCCAATGTGAACTCTGACAATGGAGCAGAGTCGGGTCGCAACAGATGTCCCTGGTAAACCATGTGGACACGTTTTCCCTCCTCCAGAACTTTTTGGAAACAGTACCTGTTGGGATATGGGCTACAGTTCAACCTGATAGACTTTGAATGGATACAATATAACTTTTTTTTCTGTGCATAGTTACTGAAGTTTGGAAATAATTTTCATATGCTTAAACTTTAAACAATAACTCTTTTCTTAACTGACTTCTTGAGATCTAGTAAAGATTTGTTTTCTGGAATAAAAACGGTCCGAGAACTTTCTCTGTATCTGACTGTTATCTCCATAGCACCATGGTGGGGCTCATCATAGCTCCCCCTCCGGCCCATATCAAACAAACTACCAGGCTGTGAGTTTCCAGGTTGTGAGGTTCCAGGCTGTGAGTTTGATGGAGTCGAGTTCTGATCATAATTATATTACAATTGTTACTTAATATTAATATTACAATTGTAAGTTACCTACTTAAAACTGGGATACCATTAATCAAAAGAACTAGGAGGATTGTAAGGAAGACGTAGTAAGGAGGATTTTTAAGCACTAATTGCCATTAATGTCAGTTATTATAATGAGTTGGGGCACATCAAAGATAATTAATATTACTTTCAGATCACTAACCTCAGATTCTTGAGCAGATTGCTGTTGAGCCACATCGTTGAAGGTGGCACCAGGTTGCCAACTGCTAATAAACTTGTAAACAGAGAAAGCCAATAGCCCAGAAAGGACTAAGAAACATACTGTCACCTCATTCCCTACCCCTTCTATCCACTGGTCCATAAAACTTTTATCACATCTTTCTACTTTAAAATGGATGTTTCAGGAAACAAAAATAAGAGATGGCAATGAAAATTGTGAATATGTCCTACTCAAGAAAACAACAATTCAAGATAACAACAATTTTATTTAGTATCAATTAAAGCAGACAAAAATATATTTTATACATATAACTAGCATGAACTTTTGACCAGATATTTTAGGGGACTTAGAGTAGCAAGAGAGTGACTAAAATACTAGCAATCCTTTAAATTCGCAATGAATAAATTCGTTCAATGTCATAAAATTCTTAAAACCACATATACGTGACCAGTAAATAATTTAATTGGTCTATAGACTACTGTATAAAATTCTCAATATTAACTTTTAAACAATAATAAATTAATTAAAAACACACAACAACCTTTGGTGTGTAAGAATTATTAATTAAACAACCTCATTTTGACACAAAATATCTTTCATAATATTATAGTATATGCTATAATATTAAAACTGTTTAGTTGAGTTCAGGTAACAGAATTTAACTGTAATTGCACCTCTGCTGTGTTATCCATTGTTGAGATGTAGCCATATTTTCGTCCGGTCTAACATTGAACCGGGCTCACTAATCATAGGGGTGGTGTAGTATAATAGTTGGAATATGATCAACTTTTTATAGTTGTATCTCTATTCGAAGGAATTCTTCTGCATCCTTTGTTATTAAGTAAAACAAAATTCATTCATTATGTTGTTCGGATAGAACAGGCTAAGAAAGAAGGTTTCAAGTTGCCTTGATGTTTTGGGCGGAAACTTGAGCTTTGTGGCGCTCACTGTAGGTGCCTTTGTATACCCTTCCAGCTGGTACTGGCTGTTTATGGAGGATTGCCAAAGCTGTTCACTGTAATGTTTCATCACTGATTTACTGTAGCTGCATCCTTTTATTGATAGACTGGTTAGTTTTTCTAGATCATAGTTATTTATGATTTTTAGATCCTCATTAGTGAAGTGTTCAGGAAGTATCGAAGATTTCCACAATAGATTAAACATTTATAAATTAACATTTATAAATTAAGATATTTAATAATTAAAACATTACAAGTGGTTAAAAATGCCCAAAATCGATCTGAGAGTTTTTTAGTCTATAGTACAATCATGATGGTAATAGTAAATGTGTGCTTGCTCTATCCAGAACCCTTGCGCTTGCAGTATCACGCGCCCACCTCACGGCGGTAAAAAGGGCTCTAGCCACCAACCCCCCATCGATTTTAGCAACCATATATTGCCAAAATTTCCCGCGCTTTGCAGTTTCTATAGCTATAGGGGGTAATTAGGTATAAACTACAGTACAGCTGTACTTACACTCACATTCACAAGCATGCAACCTCGCCTGGAGAACAAGCAATGGTTACGTCATAGTCACGTGACCTCAGGCTCATAATCACGTGACCTCAGACCCAATTAATTGGGTTCTGGCCGCGCCTGGTCAGCCCCTGTCACCCGATCTTGAGGTGACGTACAAAACCTCGTTAAACAAATCAATTAAAGAGTTGTGCGAGATGACGATACATAGAGGCCGCAGAATTATGAAGACTACCAGATCGTGGTGGAACTTAATTAGCAATCCATGATATCACGACAGGCCCTACACGAGGCATTTATCATAGCCTCCGATTAAAGTATTCAATCATCACACCAAGTACGTCACTTGAGCTACATAAACGCCGTTGTCAGCACTGCGCGCGCGCACGAACCTTCCAATCGGGTTCGTGGATATGTGCTTTTCTTGACTTGTGAAACAAGCGCGCCCGCAGCGGCGCGAAAGCACATGGTTAGGTGAATGTGTGTGCCGCTGCAATTAGATTAGATTACTGGAAGGACATATTTGAATTTCAGCTTTCCGCAATCCTAATTTCACTGTTTTGGCTGTATTTTTTCTTGAATGACCATCTTACAAGGTCAATGAGTATGGCACAAGACACGATTGACGTACTCGAAGTTCCATTCACAAAGAAAGCTTTGATAAACGGAAAATCATCAGAATATAAAATGACATTTTAAAAGATTTTTGAAGCGAAGCTTTTCTGCCATCAAGGTTCTATAGTAGAGGCTCTTACGGGCAAATAAGGCACTCTTCTGGTGGAGCCCCTAAGCTCCTAAGATGATTGTTTTATGGACTAGTAAGTAGTGCCGCATCGATAGCCGATCTCAGATGCCACTATGGAGGCTGTATGGCCATGTGCTGACGGTTATTTGCTTTTTCCCGCGCACCTTGCTAAATCACAAAGTAAACGCTCGAATTTGATTTCACAACTTCTAGATACCTACTAGTAACAATATAATATAATGTGAGTTGTATATCGACCAGTAATTTCATGTTGATAATTCAATCCAACAGATTTACATTTGCATGATCTTTCGATCTTTAACGAAAGCTGGGTATGATAATGCAATAATGATAATGTTATAAAGTTAAATTGAAAATAAAGTGAATAAAGTGAATAAAGTGAATAAAGTGAATAAAGTGAATAAAGTGAATAAAGTGAATAAAGTGAATAAAGTTAAAGACTGTAAAGTACAGTGAAGAAAAGTAAAACAAGACAATCTAACAAAGCAATGACAAATGTATACTGGCGCTCGATTTTCAAAATATTTTTAGAAATTTGCGCGCGGCTCCTATCATATTTTGATCTTTTGCTATTGCAAGCGAGATCGAAGGCCCTGCAGTTTAGTTAAAGCAATGCAAATTTTTTGTGGGTAATAAATTAATAACAAAAATACACAATATTCTTGACTTAGCTTTAATTCGCGAGACTATAAGACTTAAAAATTCAAATTGTTTATGCAAACAATAAAAAGCATGTTGCATGTATTGCTATATATTTTTTAATAAATATTGTATTTGATAATTAATTAATGTTGGTGGGGAAATATTTATTATATATTTTTTCACACAGTGCGATGATAGTTTGTAGACATGTGTGATAATGTGATGTCATAATTTTTACTTTACTTTACTTTACTTTACTTTACTTTATATGATGTTAACCTAACGTGCACAATAACAATTAGTTACAAGTGCGGCACGCGTCAAATATGAAATAGCCACATGCACAAAGGCCAAGGCTGCGACTAATTTTAAAATCAGTAATTATTGCAACGTGAAAAAGGTTTGTAGTTAACGTTGTAATTATGATTATGTTTTAAATAAGGGTCAACTGCTGCTGCGTGAATGTTAGGCTAAGCAAAATATAGAAAAACTTACTAAAATGGCACTTAGCCTGCCATTTTCCATATCTTCAATTTTATATTTATTAACATTAAGCTTTTGGTTCACGGGTAATATATTTTGCGCCGCGCACTTTACTCATAGTTCCCGCATTTGTAGCGCTATGCACTACTGGGCCGCGCCGCGCATCTTCTCGCAACCACGTAGTATGCAGATCGGCGAGATGCGAAGGATTGACATTGTGAATCAATTCCCGCATTGAAAACAAGATTCGGATATTAAAATTGAGCGATATTAAAACCATTTTTTAACAGTTACTGTATGGCAGGACATCTAATATCGTTTTGCATGATTTTAGGATCGATACAATTTTACTTTCATCGGCAGTCTAGCTATAGCGGCAAGGATACAAGGATACAAGGATACAAGGATACAAAAGTGATAATTACTTTATTGAGTACACAATAGTTGTAATTCTGAAATAATTTAAGTTACACAATTCTAATTATTTACAAGTGTGTAGGGATAATTTAGAAATGTTATATAATGCTAGTTTTAGAAAAATAGATAAATCGAGTTTGTATGGTTCAATCTTATTTTAAGGTCCTATAGCATTATGCACTTGCCAGTATTTGAGTGGAAATCTGGGCTCTTATAATAGGCTGTATAATTTTCGTTCACAGAGAGAATTGAATGGATTGCTCTTGCTGTGGCAGTGAGTGTGGTAGGATCTAGAGTTTTGTTGGAGAGCAAACAAAACTCTAGATCTTAATCATGTTTGAAATGCTAAAGTGGGAAAGTCATTTGCATTATCACAACGTTTAAGCGATTGTTTTATATATGCATTCACCACAGGATTTCGGATAAAGGTGACTACTGACGGAGTCTACTGTCCACGTCCAAAAAGTTGTTGGACGTGGACAGTAGACTGTTGGCAACAAGTGCTTCATAAATTATTATCAGACTGTTGATCTAAATCAGATCTGTAAAACTATTGTCTGAGAATGATCAATGCAATGGTATTTGTGAGAGTCTGGATGTTCTAAGGCAAGCTGGACCTGGATGGCCCACAAGAGGATAGCATGTGATGCTCCACCTGCTCTTAGTTGTGGCAAGCATCCATGAAGTGCAGAAGATAAAAGAGGTAAAGTGGCAAAGGATATGAATCTTGATGTTTCAAGCAAGCAGTGGCATAACGACCGCCCCCGCTACCCCTTGGGGGCGGCACCTTAGGGGGGGGGCGGCATTTTCCTGGATTGTAGGTCTGATTTCACGGAAAAAGCGCCTTATTGGTGTACTGCTCTGTCGGATTTAGCGTTCGTTATATGTGGAAAAATATTTGGGGTACCATTTTTGCTTCAGGGGGCGCCAAAAAAGTACCCAACGTTTTTTTAGGGACACAAAATTTTAATAGAAAAAGTCAGTTCTCACCAAAATGAAGCACAAAGTTCCTCCAAAATGTCTTTTGTGAGCTCTATCTAGCTGTCATGAGGGAAAACAGTCAGTAAGGGCAACTGCAGACCCACTAGGAGGCCATTGAACCAGAAACTCTGCCAGATTTCACTACATGATTACATGCCATTTTGCATGATCATCTGATCTATTATTGCCTGTTCTTGTGTGATCAAGTTGGACTATCCCAGCTTCTCAAGTCCCAGTGCCTTCTTTTCTAGTGTTGTCTGTCATACTGTCTTCTGTCATACTGCTGTCTTTACTAGTGACCTCGTAATATCCTAAATAGTCATGCTATCCTTATAAAGCAATGAAAGGCCTTAGTTTGGTCAAATCAAACAGAACATATGCTATCAGACTTTCAA